TTCCTTTTTTCTTTTATGACTTACTCATTTTCTTGGAAGTTTCTCTGTACTCACCATTCTGCTTATTTTGAAATAACCTTGAATTTCTCTCCATTTGGAAATCCTGTAATTACTTATTCCTTCTTAGTACTTCGTACTCATCCAAACATAAAGACAGATGTCTCTAGTTTGTATTTTTTGCCTTGTAAGCTGATTTTCCTCAGTGTGTATCTATGTCGGAGGTGCTTTGTGAATGGTATTGTCATATGTGTTTTTTTCTCACCTATCTTTTAGTTTTAACTGCATTTTTTTCAAAGCTTTATTGATTCTATATTTTGATTACTCTTTTGTGATATTTTGTCCTATTTTTCAGTGGAGTTTGAGGTTGTCTGTTGCCTCTGGGACAATGTTGTGGTGTTAGATTCTTTCACATCCTATCTTCTTATAAGTGAACAGCAGATAGGGTACTGTGTAGTCTTCTTGTTAAAATTTGTGTGCAGCAGTTGATTGTAGAAGGGCCTAGTTACAGTTTCATCTAATTTTCCAGAAGGAGCAGGAGCTGGTCCTTACTCTTGTGTAATTAGTGTACTTGCAGGAGGTATCTGCAGTCATTTTGCTGTGTAGATATCCAAAGTGACTTCTGTCTGGAGAGATTTTCATGATGTGACAAGCAGGTCAAGGGGGATGGCAGTAAATTGTGAGTATCAGCAGGCAGCTATGAGAAGTGGCGTGCAGGAGGGCAGATAGTCAAAGGTTGCTTGTTATGTGCTTGAACACAACTTTGGGTCACAGATTATTGCTACAGGCAGCCATGGGTCACAAGATGTGGAGATAGTCAGAGTTTATGAATCTCAAGGTCCACAGTTTCAGGTCTAAAACAGGGGCCAGAAGGCCACGTGAGTCATTGAGACTGCACAGGCACATTTGTCAGTGATCTTCAGAGGTGCTGGGACAAGTTAACCATTGTGCTTGCTTCAGCCTTATTAATATTACATTTAAAATGGTGTAAGCCAGATCTCAGGTGAAGCTCATTAAAAGCAAGGGGAACCCTACTCAATCAGCAGGAGGTCACTCTGCAGCCCCTAAAAACAAATGGAGGGGGAAATATCTATACCTTTCTCTTTTCTTAAAGTGGACTAGCTACTGGTGTCTCATTGGTTCAACTCTGTGCCTATGCAGGATTCCTGTGAATATCCTACAGAAAAGATCAAAGTATTGGATTATCTATTTTGCTTGGTTCTTTAACCATCTATTTGGTTCAATTTTTTTCTTTATGTCAGTGTTTTAATTTCCTCTTAATTAATTTCTTCTAAATTTTATAATTCCATAATTACATTCTTTTACTGCCTTTCTTTATTGTTTTATTGATGGTGATATTCATTTAATCTTTGTTATAAAGGGATTTGTTTCCTGGATGCCTAGTGTATATAGTTGGAAATCTTGGCATTAGACAACAATAATGATACCTAAAATATTGCTATTAACAGATCAAAAATAGGTGAAAATTGAACCTTTGCATAATTATGTGTTTGACATTTTTCTACAATTGTGTCAGGAAAAAGTTTAGAGAAGTTAGTTAGTCCTCCTCATGCTAGACAAGGTATTGAAAGAAAGAGAAGAGCTTAGAATTTCTGATTCACTCTCAAACATTGCATAAACAATCTTGGAGTTTAAAATTGTGCATTTCAATTTTACATGCTGTAATGTGAATGGAACTTGAGAACATTTTATTGAAATAAGTCAATCACAAACAGGAAAAAACATTGTGTGATCTCACTTATATGAAAGGGCAAGAATAGACAATTATGCAGACATCAAATTTCATTCACATGAACTTTGTGACCACTCACATAAAATACCGCCATCATTATCTATTATCTAACTAAATCTATTTACAGTGTAAATAAACTTGCATATTAAGGCTTGGCCGTGTTGTTTTTGTTGTTGTTATGTGTTGTCAAGCTGCTTGCAACCCATAGCGACCCTCCCTATATACAGCAGCTCTGAATCCTGCCCTGTCCTGAGCCAGTCTCACTAATTTTGACACACCAACCCCCATTGCCTTAGCAACTGTATCAGTCCATCTTATCCTGGGCCTTCCTCTCCTGCACTGTCTCTCCACCCTTCCAAACATGATGTCCTTCTCCAAGGTCTGGTCTCTCCTGGACATGTGCCTAAAGTATGTGAAATGAAGCTTCAAATTTCCAACCTCCAAGGAGAAACTTCGTTTTACTTTCTCTAAGGCAGACCTATTTGTTTTCTTGGTGGTCCATGGTATGTTAAAGACACTTCTCCAGCACCACAATTCAATGGCATAGATTCTTCTTCTGCCATCCTTAGTCCCTGTCCAGCTCTCTGATGTATAGCAAGTAACTGTGAAGATCATGGCCTGAATCAGGTACACCTTAGTCTCTAGACTGACATCATTGCTTTTCAACACTCTGGAGAGGTCATTGTGATTTCTTAAAACTCTAGTAAAACCAAGACTGAAATTATCAATCCACATTCCATTAATGTAAATAACATTGTAGATTCAAACTGTTGTGATGAAATGGAAGAAGCTGTAATAAAATTGAAAATCCTGAAAAAGGAGACACCTTCAAAATGTTCAAAATCCCTAGCTTTAAGAGAGATGCAAATCAAAACAACTATGAGATAGCATCTCACCCCAGTAAGAATAGCAAAATTTAACAGAACAGCAAACATCAAATGCTGGCGAGGTTGTGGAGAAACTGGAAACCTTATTCACTGTTGGTGGAAGTGTAAAATGGTGCACCTACTGTGGAAAGCGATGTGGTACTTTCTCAAAAAGTTGCAAATAGAGATACCATTTGACCCAGCAATTCCACTATTGGGAATATACCCTAAAGAGATCATAACCTCCATCCAAGGATATATATGCACACCCATGTTTATTGCAGCTTTGTTCACAATAGCCAGGAGTTGGAAACCCATCAACAGACAAATGGATAGAGAAGTTGTGGTATATTCACATAATGGAATACTATGCTGCATTGAAAAACAAGGAACTCATGAAATATTGTGCAAAATGGTTGATCCTGGAGAACATTATGCTGAGTGAAATATCCCAGTCACAAAAGGACAAATATTACATGATGCCACTGTTGTAGAATGGGACTGACATCAGGGTTGGGTTAAGACTGAGAAAAACTGGATAAATTATGTATACTGCATTGAAACAGATGAGGGAGAGAAAAGTTTAAAAATGATATGTGATAGGGTATTATGGTTATCACAAGAGTCCAAAATTAAGATTTCATAGTGGAGTACACTCAGGGTGGAGGGATTGTATACCAATGAAGGAGTTTTTCTTTTGCTTTTTGAAGAGAGGAGCGAACTGGGGCGGGGCAGCATGGAGAAAAGTGTAACAATGAATGAATGGAAATCCAAAATCTCTGTAAATGTTCGTTAAAATTAATAAAGTCATTTTTTTAAAAGACACCTACAGTGAGATGCAGCAATTGACCTAAGCACTAAAGAGATTGTAGGGATGGCACAAAAGGAGGCAGGCTTTCATTGTGTTGCAGGTTAGAGACTAAGAGCTCACTCGAGAGTACTTAATAACTGCATGTTTATAAAGATCATATTTAGAATTAAGCATGTAGACTAGCTTACACTCTTGTGCAGTGCGTACAGATTGAAGATTGAGAGTTTTGAAACATTCAATGACACCTAGAAAGAAACAAACCTGAATGTTGCATTTTTGGAACATTTACATTTATTTGTAAATATTTATACATGGATAAATTTTATAAAATTGTTATCAAGCTTCCTATTATCATATATAGTATAAATTTGTTTTTAACTGTATGTGAAGACAGAAATCTAATTAAATAGGAATGATGCTTCAAATTATGGATGACATGCAACATGAAAATGATCAGAAACAGGTGGACAGAGGTGGTGAGAGAGATCTTGTCTCAAAAGGACACGAATGAAATAATTCTAAATACTCTTTTTCTATTGTTTTGATCTTTCTACAAATCTGCATTGCCCTGGGATCAGAATAATGATCCTGTGTTCAGTTAATGAGGAGCTTTGGATTTTTGTCCCCTGGGACACAGAGATTGCAAATAGTCTGGCTCTGACCATTTCATTCAAAGCCCCCACTCATTCAGGAACCACCACCTATGAAACTCCAACCACACATTATCATTCTTGCTTGGGAGACTGGCATTTCATTCAGTTCTCCTGCCTTTCCTAAGGACACATCTTCTACTTTCACTCATCAGGGCAGATGCTACCTATTATTCTGCAGTTATACCAGCCAGGTAACCAGAAATTACTTTGTTAATATTTGAAAGTTAAAGGAGGTGTTTTAGTATAAATTCATCCAACTGAATCTGTCAATAGAATGCATGCATAGAATGGTTAGCACTAAGTCATTCTGAGCAAACAAGAAGATCTCATTTTTATTGCATGCTATTTAGAAAGAGCGTTTATTGCTTCACTTTTTGTTTCCATTTGTACTTCCTAATACAACTGATGTGTCAAATGCAAGAATGGTTACCCATTGAGGACAGTGTTGGTGGAGCACCCTGATTAAGACAAGCTTGGAAGCAGGAGTGGCATCCACTTCCAAAATAGCTTGCCTCTGGAAACCCTATGAACCTGGAGAAAGGATATAAGTTATACAAGCGTCCAAGCTTTTCATTCATAGGGTTGCTATGAGTTGCCTACGACTCGACAACACCACCAATACCACTTCATGGTACAAACTATGACCAACGAAGAAGGCAATTGACACTAAATAGAAACATCAGGCTGTCAGTATTTCTTTACAAATCAAAGCCAAAATTATGAACCCCATTTTGCTCCTTTCCAAAATGCTCTGATATACTAGTTCCTGTTTATGTTTAAGTAACAAAATTTTCATGATAACAATATTCCATGTTTTCCACTTTATTCTTTTCCTTTCTTTCCCAAGATGGTGCCTCACACAGGTGAAACCATACATATCATTGTCTCATCATATCATTCCCATCATACTCAGCAGCAATATGGAATCAAAAAATAAAACAGGTGTTACAAAATTCCTTCTCTTGGAACTGACAGAGGATCCAGAACTTCAGCCCCTCTTCTTTAGTCTGTTTCTGTCCATTTACCTGATCACCGTCCTAGGAAACTTGCTCATTGTCCTAGCGGTCACCTCTGACTCCCACCTCCACAGCCCCATGTATTTATTTCTTGCCAGCCTCTCCTTGACCGACATCTGTTTGAGCACAACCATGATCCCAAAGATGCTGGTGAATCTCCATGCACAGAATCTGAGCATCACTTACACAGCATGTCTCACCCAGGTCTACTTTGTCTTGGTTTTTGCATCTTTCGAAAATTTCCTCCTTGGAGTAATGGCCTATGACCGCTATGTGGCTATTTGTCACCCACTGAGATACACAATCATCATGAACTCCCGCTTCTGTGGTCTCCTGATCCTACTCTCCTTGTTCATTAGCCTCATGAATTCTCTGTTCCAAAGCCTGATGGTGCTGAGGTTGTCCTTTTGCACGGACCTGGAAATCCCTTACTTCTTCTGTGATCTTATTCAGGTTGTCAAGGTTGCCTGTTCTGATACCCTCATCAATAACGTCTTGTTGTATTTGGCAACAACTATTTTAGGTGGTGTTCCTCTTTCTGGAATTATTTTCTCTTATATACAAATTTTCTACTCCATTTCAAGGATTCCGTCTTCAAGTGGGATGTATAAAACTGTTTCCACTTGTGGATCTCATCTCTCAGCTGTTTCCTTGTTCTATGGTACAGGCTTCGGCTCTTATATTAGTGTTGCATTTGCACACTCTTCCAGGAAGATAGCAGTAGCTTCATTGATGTACACTGTGGTCACTCCTATGATGAACCCCTTTATCTACAGCCTGAGAAATAAAGACATGAAGGGCGCCTTGAGAAAAGTGGTGGTATTAAAAAGGTAATTCTATCACCTACTTGGAATTAAGTTCGTACCACACTAAATGCGCCCAATCTTTTCTGACCTCAGAAACTAAGAAGGGCAGGGCCAAACCTGATCAGCAGTTGGAAGGGTAATACTGGATACTATAGACTTTCCAGGATTAATGATGTCTTGTATTCTCTAATTATGATCTAAATTATCATAAACCAAACTGAGGTTACTACAAGTCAGAATTGACATGAAAGTGAATTTGAGGGAATTCTTTTGGGTGTTATATTTTTTCTTTTTTTTAAATTATTATTAAATTTTATTAGTTTTCATGAACATTTACAGAGATTTTGGGTTTTCATTCATTCATTCATTCATTGTTGCACTATTTTCTCTACCCTCCTCCCCAGTTCGTTCTTCTTCCCCCCACCATGTCTGTTTTAATTGTCCAATTGCCACAGTGCTTGTCAGAGCCAGTTCTGATTAATCTCCTTTGTCAGTGTGTCCTTTGTCATTCCCTATCACTCCTCCCTAACAGAAACTTCACGCTGATTCATAAGGAAAAGGGGATGGCGTATTCTTTTAGCTACTTCCTGCTGAAAAGGGACGCTGTGGGTATCAGGGTGAAGATCTTCTCTCACTACTCTAAAGAGCCCCTTTGGCAGTAGGAAACACATAGACTATTAGGGGTGTTATATTTTGTTTTAGGTTTGGTTTTCTAGATTGTGTCAGGGTAAAAGAATACTTGGGAGATAAAATTACCTAATAACGTTCTCAGAATAAAGTAGGAGAGAAGAGAAGAGTGGGAAAGGGTGTATGTGAAGCTATAGGCATGGCTAGACATGACCTTGAGGCTGATGCCATGGAAAGAGTCATGTGAGTGGAAGTCCAGATTCAGTTGCACTAGAATAAAAGAGTGTTCAGCTTCCATGCCAAATGTGGTGAATGTTATTCCATGTCACTTGTAAACTTTATCTGTCCAGGGTAACGTCAGCATCTGCCATATTTGTTTGATTATTTCTTTTTATTGCTGTTAGTTGGCTGCTTCTAAGTTGACCCATAATTCTTTATTTCCCCAAGCACGTTGAAATAGGACTGTGGTGATCCAGAATTCTCATTGGCTAGTTTAGGGAAAAGATTGCCATGGCTTTTTTCCTATTTTCCTTAATCTTGAAGATTATCTAATATATACTCAACATCATTATGGCACTTGAGGGTCTACTGAAAAGTTGTGCTTGCACATTAGTTTCATTTGCAGGAATCTAAGCTGGGACTTCTGCAAAGAACACAAGGATTCTGCTCCTAATCCACAGCACACACATAATCTAGAAAACTGGCTATTTGCATTCATTCAGTGGCTTCAGAGGACTGTGAGATATTTGCAGTTAATCAAAGTAGACGTTTTCCTCCTAATAGTATTGCTCTTAGGTGCCTTCAAGTCAATTAGGACTCATAGTGACGCTATTGATAGTTATTCCTGAGAAAGAGAGGTGAAATAGTTTTGCAGCTCTGACATAAGAGACAGTGCGATTGGCACAGGACAGAGCGGAGTTTAGGGCTGTTGTGCATAGGGTCGCTATGAGTCGCAGGCGACTCGACGGCACATAACAACATATAACAACAGAGATAAACAGAGTTGCACCTGCTGTTTTGATCATTTTTGTGGCTGTTATGGGAAATGAGTGGGAGAGCAACTCCCTGGCCCAGACACAAAAAGTATCATTAATATAACATACAAGCAAAATACTGTTGAATATCTTAAAAAATGTCTAGAACAGTACATAAATAGGGTACTGACAGAAGTTCAAGAAGCATTTAGAACAGGCTTTGGCACCAGGGACATCATTGCTGATGTCAGATAGATCCTGGCTCAAAGTAAAGAATACCAAAAGAGTGTCTATTTGTGCTTTATTAACTATGCAAAGGCATTTGACCCTGTGGATCATAACAAGTTATAGCTAACAGTGAAGAGAACAGGAATCCCAGAGGACTTCATTGTGCTCATGCAAAACCTATACCTAGACCAAGACGTTGTTATGTGAACAGAGCAAGGGAATAGCACATGGTTTATAATTTAAAGGGAGTGTTTCAGAGTTGTATTCTCTCTCCATACCTATTAACTCTGCATGTTGAGCAAAGTATTTGAAAAGCTATGAAGAGTCTTCTATGAAGAAGAATGTGTCATCAAGATTGGAGGAAAACTCATCAATAACCGGTGTTATGCAGATAACACAACCTTGCTTACTGAAAGCGAGGGAGACTCAAAGCACTTGTTGCAGAAGATCAAAGAATATAGCCTTCAATATGGATTGCATCTCTATGTCAAGAAAACAAAAATTCTTACCCCGGACTGATAGCCATATCATGATAGATGAAGAAAAGATTGGCACTGTCAACACTTTCATCTTACTTGGATCCACAATCTACACCCTTAGTATCAGCTGTCAGGAAATCAGGAGACATATTGCACTGGTAAAATCTGCAGTCAGAGACCTCTCCAAATTATTGAGAAGCAGTGATGTCGATTTGAGGACTAACATGTGTCTGATTCAGGCCATGGTCTTTCTGACCACTTGCTATGCTTCTGAGAACGGAACAATTAATAAGGATAACAGAAGAAGAATCAATGCCTCTGATCTGTGATATCGGAGAATAGTACTGAACATCCCATGGACTGCCAAAGAAAAAGAAATATATCTTGAAGAAGGTGCAGCCAGAATGCTCCTTGGAGGCAAATATGACAAAGCTTTATCTCACATACTTCGGGCATGTTGCTAAGAGAAGCTATTCCTTGGAGAGGGACATTATACTTGGAAAAGTGGAGGGTTGGTACAAGAGAGATAGACCCTCAATTAGGTGGGCTGACGCAGTGACTTCCACAATGGGGTCTAGTGTGTCAGAAAATGTGAGGATGGCAAAGGGTTGAAGAGGTTTCAGGTCTGTTGTTCACGGGTTCAGTATGGGTTATACTCAACTCGATGGCACATAACAATAATATCAACACTTGTACATACTAGAATGTAGATATACCTTGAAATAATTTGAGTTAAATAAGTCATACAAACAGAGAAGTATTGTATGATCATATTTAAGTGAAAGGACAAGAAGAGGCAAGTATGTAGAAATCAGAGTTCATTACCAGTTACCTATAATGGAAAGGAGAAAGAAAGCATGAACCATTGATAAACTTGATAGATAACTAGAGCAAGGAACTATTTTGAGTATAGCAAGTGAACCCTGCATAATTTAAAATCAGGAAAGGTGTAATCAGTGTTGTATCCTTTCTCCATACCTATTTAATCTGTATGCTGAGAAAATAATTAAAGAAGCTGGATTTTTGAAGAATGTTGCATCAGAGGAAGACACAACAACAACTTGCATTATAACGATGACACAGCCTTGTTCGTTGAAAGTGATGGGTACTTGAAACGCTAAAGCAAAAGATCAAAAAGTCCAGTACTCAATATGGATTACATCTCCACATTAAGGAGACAAAAAATTCTCACTAGTACATCAATAAGCAACATCATAATTTATGAAGAGAAGATTGGAATTGTCAGTGATTTCACCTTAGTTGGATCCATAATCAACACCTTTGGTACTGGCAGTGAGGAGATCAGGAGATGTACTGAATTGGGAAACCCACTGACAGGGACTTTGCTAAAGTACTGAGGAACAATGATGACAGTTTAAAGACTAAGGTGTGCCTGACCCAAGTCATGATCTTTTCAATCACTTGAAAAGCATTCTGAAAGTTGAACAATGAATAAGGATGACATAAAAGAATTGATGTCTTTGAGTTGTGGTACTGAAGAAGAGCACTGAATACAGAGGGCCAAAAGAACAAACAGATACATGTTTGGAAAAGTGTAGCCAGAATGCTCCTTGAGGCAAAGATGGTGAAGCATTGTCTCACTTTGAGAATGTTGCTAAAAGAAGCTACTCCATGTATTGTACTTAGAAAAGTGAGGGTCGCCAAAAGATGAAAATCCCCTTTGAGATGAATTGACACAATAACTATAGCAATCAGCTCAAGGGTGTCAAAGATAATGTCACAGGTTAAGATAGGGTTCAGATCTGTTGTTCATAGGGTCACTAAGAGTCATTCTCAATTCAACAGCACTAACAATAGCAACAATGTCACTAGGGTTCCCTGGGGTCAAGAACACTAGGAAGGAGCCAAATGACTTTCTGACTGTCTTTATTAGAAAATGGCTTCTGTTGTCATGAAGAGAGAAATTGGTGATGCCTTACTGTGATTACTGAATGTTCAAATAAAAAAATAGAGAAAATTCCTAATCAAATCTATGTGGATTGAGGATTGTGTAACAGAATTTCAAATTAACATTGGATCCAGAATTTCTAGAGCTGTTGAGGATGGATAAACCACTGAAACTATTAACATGGAAGGATATTTAAACTTCAAACCTTAAATTAATATATTCAAAGTATTCTTTAGAACCTCCCTTAAAAATGTTTTAAAAATTAGTAGAGTGTAAAAAGAGCAAAGGACCATGTGGGAAGTACTGTATCTGACCTTAACCAACTTCACAAGGGAGAACTGCCCTTTCCACATCATCAATAACACAAAACCAATTCTCATGATGTTAGACATGTCTCCTAGGCTCCCATGCCTCCTTCTATTCATTTCTACACCAGTTCTACTGCTTTTCTGGGTCCCAAATCTGATGTGATAGCTCACACACCGCCTATAATTGTTTAGGGGGAATCAAAAGGTTATAATACAGATTAGTAACAGAATACAATCAAGACAGCGCCAGAAATATGCAAACAAGCACCTCAGCTTTGATATTTGTGAGTCTTAGTGTTCCCAAGCTCTCAGTCCTGCCAATATTGACTTCTCTCCCCAATCATCCAATAAAATTCTCAGTCCTGCCAATAACGGTTCACCACCCAATTGTCCAACAACGTTCTCAGTACTGCCAAGAATGGTTTTCTGTACATTTCCTCAAAGTCCCATCTCACGTCCATTCTCCGGTTCAGTCATGGCTGCTACTGTCATCCTGAAGCATG